GAAATTTCTTGACCTTGACTCCAGTGATAATATTTGCCTCTTTCATCACTTCCAAATCACTTGTTCTTTAGGTCCAGCTATGTTTGACAATGTGTTTCTGTGTAAATCTAAGGAAAACTGATTGTTTCTTTTAAGTATTAAAATAATAACAAAAATCTTTCCCCCCCCACCCCCAATTCTTCCCTGCTTTTCCTGTTTCAGAGCAGAAGCCTGCTGGTGCTGTCTTTTTAAAACTCACTTATGAATGTTTTATAAGGAGGGGAAATAGTTACAAAAGGAGTGTAAAAAGAGTACAGAATACCTGTGACTCGTGGGGGTTGTGGAGCTTCAGACTTTATCTATTAGATATGGCCATCAGGATTGAAATGAACTCTTTGGTGACTTATTTTTTCATCATTAAATCAGACTGCTATTAGCTTTGTTCACAGAGCTAACCCTGCATGGAGCAGAGTTGGTGTAATCATTCACATGACTTTGCATAACCCTCTTTGTTAGGACAAAAGCACATAGAGATGGTTTCTCTTTCATGAATCATGTGGGATGAGCAGAGAACGTGGGACAAAGGTATATTTGCTATTAAATTTGTAAAGCAATCCAAATGGGAGTGGCTAAAGCCCTATTCTGTGTGCTGAGGGTTAATCCAGCTGTATCAGCTCTGAGCTCACCTGTGCACTATTGGCTGAGAGCAGGGGAGGGAGGCAAAGGCAGAAAATCCACTGCTTAATTTAGACAGTGACAAATGGCTTGCTGTGCAGGATGCTTCACTCCTGGATGTCTGGGGTGGTGCAGATACTAAAAAGGGAAACACATTTTCTCATATCTTTACAAGCAAGGTGTCATGGGTGGCAGCACAGCCTGACCTGCATCTTTAAGTGGGGCTGCTAAAGGTGGTTGGAGAGTGGAGGGCTAAATCATATATTATATTATAGTGGCTACTCTGTCCCCCCACTTTCCCATGCTTTTTGGTGGCTGACTCCACAGCACAATTCTTTTGTCCAGCAATTTTCTTTTGTACCCAGACATGCCAAATATGACATATATCGAAGTGCATGGGGAGCTTACTGCTCACTCTGCATTTTAACCAGCACACTGCACTGTCCGCCTCCCTGTCTTTGTTATCTTGGCACTGCTGAATGTGTGATGTGCAAGGAATGGCAGTGAGAAAGAATCCAGGTTATATGGCAAAAAAAAACCTGCAAGAAAGCTCAGATTCAAGGGGTGCAGTCTGTTAGACCTAGGTATGAAGCCAGAGAGCACCACGGTGGGAACCATTGTACACAAATTTGGGAAGGATTGTCAGATTTTTCAGTCTGCACTGGCATATGGTTGTGGACCACTATTCTTACCTCACAGCCCTTTTATTTGCAACATGTGCTAGTTGTAGGTTAGATGGATACAGACTGTGCTTAATGTGATACTGAGATCCTGCCTGTGTGCACTGATGACATTCAGCCAAGGGCTTAAATGTGCCTCATGCAGGCCTGAGATCATAATGGCTTTTATTTGTAGAATTTGGATGAACAAATGGTCTTTTCTTAGCCCAGCCCAGCCCTACTCGCTTTCTATTTTAGGAGATAATGATAATTGCTAGCTTTTCGTGTATATACCCAACAGTTTTGCCAGAATTAAAATCAGATTTATTTAAAAGCCATCTCAGCCTTATACGACAGTACTGGGCTATTAGTTTACTTTGATTCTAGACATTCAATGTGTCTGTTGTATTAGCAGAATGGAAATGATGTTAATTTTCTTTTGCAAAACGCTTCAAGGAACCCAGAAAGAGTGTAGATGTCATTGGTGCTATAGAATAATAAAAGGATGTTGCCAACCCTTTGTATTAAACATGAGCACAGTACTAAGTCTGGTGCTCAGTCTTACTGTGACTTTGGCTTACAAAGAAGCAATTAAACAGTCAGAGGTACTTCATGGATCCCTACTTCCCCCATGTATGTGCTTTTGGCATCAACAAGGATGCTGGACTAGGTGGACCTTTTGTGTAAAGCAGTTTTTCTATTCCCACTGCCTCGGAAATTAAGGGTTTTTAAAATCTCTTTATTGATTCAATTTCTGAGAAATTTCAGCTTCATGGAAATTTCAGCGTCACTGAAGTTTCCCAGACAAAAATTTAAAAAGCAGATAATAGGGCAGATTTTTTTGAAGGAAAATATAGCAGGGAATGCATCACAGTGTGACAGGCCCCATGTCAGGGTTGTGGAAGCTGGCACACTAGGAAGAAGCAGTAGTGCTAGGGAGCTGAGAAATGGGTGCTGGTTTAAAACTGCAGATCAGCACACACTGGCACTGGGGGGAGGATCTCATTTGTTCTCACAGTCAAAGTCATGTTGCATGGTTTCAGATTTAGCTTAAGAAAATGAGGGCTGGAAGGGACCTCAAGAGATGATGTTGGATCCTTCCCAAACCAAAGGCGAGATCAGCATGCCAAAGCCACTCTGACACGTGTTTGTCCCTTCCTCAGCCCTGTGCTGGAAATTCCAGAGCCTCCCTTGGTGACCTGTTCCAGCCTTTGCTGTCATCACAGACTGGCATGGAGCCTTCAGCTGTCATGGCAGAGCAGAGGGATACATTACACAGTGTCACTCCTTGTCATTTCATGATTTCAGCTTGTAACATATGTCCTCTAGAGCAAAGTCCTGGTATTAGGACATCTCAGGACTGCTTTTCAAGTCCAAGTTGTGTCAAAAGTCTGTGACTTGCATTTTGTCACAAGATTCCACTGTGCTTAGTCCTCCTCCCCTCCTTTTTAAGAGATTTGAGAAGAAGAATAATGCTGATAGGAAGAGGGACATGCAAATGGTGGATTTCTGGATAGCAGGAATGTGCAGCACATATTTGGGGCTCTTTTGGCCCATTATCCAACAAACAAAAGTCGTGCCCTTTAGTCAAAAGGATTGACTCTGCTCTCATTATCAGTTGTGTTAATAAACTTGGACTTGCCCTTTTGCAAGGCATGGTGTTGCCTGGGCTTAAACCCACAGGGAGATGAAGGTTTTCAGGCTGTACCAGCTCAGTCAGCTTGAGTGTTGGAGCCAGGGTGATCTTTGCCCTGCTGCCTGGGCTTTAATAGCTCAGATTGCTCAGTTCTGTTTGTGTCCATTTGTTGTTCCTTGTTTAAGTTTCAGGCATTCACCAAAGGATGTCTGGGGATGGTATTGTGTGGAAAATCCTTTGTTCCAGGCTGTCTCTGTGGCTTCCATGAGTGCCTCAGCTGATGGGCATTCCCTTTCCAGTTCACTGGGCTTCATCCCCTCCCTCAGCCCTTCTGTCCCCTGGGGCTGGGCACAGAAGCACAGCCCTTGCAGTTCAGTGCTGTCTGCCACATCAGTCTCTTCAGATCTTACCATGTGCCCCTTAACAGGAAATCTTGTTGAGTATTTTATGTTTGAAGGGGGAGGAATGGAAGCTTGGGGCTGAGCTAGAGATTTCTGATGTAACACGAGATATTGTGGCACCCCCTGGGACAGAGTGCTCCTGCCTTCTGGTTTCCATTCTGCCATCAGCAGCGTCCAGGACTGCAGTGAAAGTGGCTACCAGGAAAGTACCAAAACTCTTGAGCAAGAGTCCTTCTGCCCATTAGAGACCAGGAGAACTTCGGGTGGGAGACAAAATGCTGTGCCTGCAGCCCTCACCAGGTGTCCTGGTTTAGGGCAAATTTAGGGAGAAAACCTCTGAATGGGGTCCCTTTAGGAAAGAGATTCAAGCAGTCTCTCTCCCAACTGGTTGGGGGAAATATTTCCTCGGAGAAAAGTGAAATAAAAACCTGTTTATTTAACAGGCAAAGCATTTCCCAGCACAAAAATGAACAATACCAAACAGCAAAACCTCTCACCTCTCCGAAGAGATGTCAGATTCAGAAGAGTCCCTTCTGTGGGTTGCAGCCTGGCTCACTCAGGCTGTTTTTAGTTCTTCTGACATTGGGAAATGCCAAGGCCCAGACCACGCTTGGTGGGTCACAGGTGTGAGCTCCTGGTGCTCAGTCCAGAGCAGGTTCAAACAATTCCAAGAAAAAGGAAGAAAACCCACAGTCCAGGGAGCTTGTCTGCCTCAGCTAGTCAAAACCTCAGTAAAAGCAAAGGAGAGCTCTCTTCTGCTGTCCAGTGCAGACAACCCAGTCAGTGTGAAGGATGCTGGGGAGCAAGTGCAGTCTGTGATAACAAACTCTGCCCCTCTTCTCTCCCCCTTCACTCCTGGAACCAGGCTTAAAGCTCTCAATATTCTCTCAGAACTCTCCATATATCTCTGTCTCTCTCTCAGAACTCAATATTCAACACCAACAGAACAGAAACCATAAAGTTACCCCAAGACACCAGAGTGACAGGGCTGTCCCCCTGCTCTGAGCTGTCCCCCTCTGCCCTGGACTGTCCCCCTTGCCCTGGACTGTCCCCCTTGCCCTGGGCTGTCCCCCTGCCCTGGGCTGTCCCCTCCTTTGCCCCGGGCTGTCCCAGCTCTGTGCCCGCTCCCGGCCGGGCACACGCGGGCTCTGCTGCCACCCACCGGGACCTGGCGAGTGAGCGCTGCTGATGCTCGCCCGGCCGCGCTCAGCTCCGTGCGGGCACCGCGCTCTTCCTGACAGCAAAACCCAAAACCACAAACACCGATCGCTGTAGAACACACGAACTTTCTGCAGTGGGGATTTCTTTACAGAATCTGAAGTTTGTACAGAGCTTGCCAGCTGGTTTTTGAGTCATAAACAGCACGAAAAACAGAAGTTCTTTCCCTCTTCTACTGAGTGTGTCTGTAATGAGAAAGAGTGAATCTTTGTGCAGGACATGGGAAGGGTTTATAGAAAAGAAATGTACGTGTAATGAGAAAGACTGAGCCTGCACAGAGCCCGGGAAGGGTTTAAGGAAAGGAAATGTGCCTTTGCACTGCTGTATAGTTCATCCCTTTGGCTACCAAATCTTATGGCAGGTGGGCAGTTAATTAAGGTTAATAAATAAGTAGCTGACAACAAATGCATCTGTTTGTTTGCTTGTTTGCAGATTGTGCTGGCTGTGGAAGAGACATCAAAAATGGACAAGCATTGCTAGCCCTGGATAAGCAGTGGCACCTGGGGTGCTTTAAGTGCAAGGCCTGTGGGAAGGTCCTAACTGGGGAATACATCAGCAAGTGAGTAACCTCTGCTTCTCTGCTGAACTCCTGGCACAGTTTTAGCTGCTAGCAGAGAAGAGCTTGCAGAAAAATTTACATCTGGAAGTCCTGTTTTGACCACTCTTTCATGTACTCCAAAGTACATGAAAGTCTTTGTTCCCAGTGAGAGCTGAGCTGGGAAAGTGAACTGCAAAGTGCAACTGAAAGGTGATGTTTAATGATACCAGTCTATATTTAATACCAGTTTGAAAGAGGTATAAATCCATATTCCTATAGACATAGAGAATTAGGTGGACTTTTGCATATGTTTTCTGTAGTAAAAGCATGAGGTCATTTTGCTTTCCAGCATATGATTTTGAGGGGGAAAAAAAGGTGAAAAAGAATTTGTCCATTTCTTACCTTTGCTAGATAATAGAGTAAATGTGATGATGTGATTGTATATCTGATGATGACATTGTATTTCTTGTCTCCTGTAAGAAACTAATGAAGAGGGTTTTGAGTGGAAGAAAGGGTAGAGGAAGAGAATAGAGAAATTATAAAAGAGAGAAGTGAAGATAGTTTCTTTTCCCCCCCTTTCAGCATACAGCAAAGAAAAAAAATAAGGAAACAATGTACGTTTCACAAACCTGTCATTCGGGTGTGTATAATATTTATAAGAAGTAGCATCTGTAATTTCTAAAAATAAAAAAAAATCTTGTGCCTGAGAAATGCTCTTAGGCTGACTAGTGTTTCCACTTTTATTGTATGTTCCTTGTTCATACAAAATACTACATTACTTAAAAGTAACTGCTTATAGTCTTGCAGCCTACCAAAGTTTTTTTTTTTTCTGAAGTGAACAAAAACTGTCTGCCTGTGATAGACTGTGATCTCCTCTCAGCCCCAGGACAGTTACACTGATTCCCTGGAACTGCACCACCTGTAGGTGTAGAGAGTCTGCTCTAAAGAGGTTTGCTTCAGTAGTTTGTTTCAGTAGCAGTTTACTTTGTAGTTTGCCCTGGATGCCTTCTCTTGATGGAAATTTAAGGAATAATTCTGAGAGGCATTACTGAGAATATGATTTTGGTTTCTTGTTCTATAAAGTGTTTGCCTTGAACTCTCCCCATTTACCTGGGTCTGTGTGTAGGAGCTCCAAACTGAAGACAAAGGAAGAGTGTAAGTCATGCTGGAACCTGTCTTATAAGAAGTGGTTTGTAATCTGTGAATTTTCTTTTTCAGAGATGGTGCTCCTTACTGTGAAAAGGACTACCAAGTTCTTTTTGGAGTCAAGTGTGAAGCATGTCACCAGTTCATTACTGGGAAAGTCCTAGAGGTAGGTATTTGTGAACTAGAGTTTATGTAGAATTGAGCCACCCATTCATTATGTCTTCATGCAACTGCAGAGAATACAAAAATTCTCACAGAAATAATTCCTGCTGATTTTAGAACAAAATTGCTGATTTTCAGAATTATTTTCAGTGTTTTAGTTTTGCAATCATCAGGAAAAGTGTGTGATATAGAATTAATTGCACCAGTTTCTATGGATCTCTGGTTTCTGTTTTTCTCTTTTCATGGTGATCTGCAAAGCCTATTGCGCTGCTTATTCTGTGTCAGATTTGATATATTTACTTGGGTACTGGAATCACCTTTGGCAACCATGAGTTTGTCAGAACTTATGTGACATTTACACATGATCTGAATGATGCTGAGAAGGTGAGAGGGAGAAATGTGCTGGAGAGGTAAATTATGTGTTCAGAAACGAGAAGGCAGAAACCATCTGAATAATCTCCTTTGCTGACTGTTATTTGGAGTCCTCAATGTTCTCATTGAAACCAGTCAAATCGTTTTAGAGATGTCAGTACCAACCTCCATCTCTCATGGCTCTGGTAAGGATTCTCTGGAATCCTCGAACTATGCACGGATTCCTCTGTGTCATAACTGAATTGTTTAAGGGGCCAAAATGCAGAGGACCTTCCTTGTCCTTGAGATATGAGAAACAAAACTTATCTCTTGTCCCTGTGGGAAACTGCTCAGTGGAAACAACCTAAGCTTTGAGCTCAGGTCAAGAGCTGGAGTTTGTGTTTTTCAGTGAATCACTGAAAATAAACCTGAAAGGTCACAAAAAATGAAAGCAGCTGGAAGTGCTAGTGAAAGTGTGTTAGAGGTTCCCTTCTTTGTGTCCCATCTACTACAAATGTAAGACTGTGTCAGCTCTATTGTAAGAAGTTTCAGGTTTGACATAAAATGGTATTGTGGTTTTAGTTGTGGAGGTTTCTCTGGTTCAGCATTCAGAATATTAACCAATCACCATAAGGGACTCAGAGCTCGTTGGACACCCTGTGCATTTGGAAGGATGCACTGGAAGGATGAACAGTTCTTTCATTAGCCACACTCTTAGCCTGCCTCCTTTGAAATGTGTATCTAATTCCTTTGGAGACCTGCACAGATAATTACTGAGAGCAGCCTGAGTTTTCCCCTGAGAAGGAAGGCTGTGTCTCTGGCTTTCTTCTTCTGGCCTGCCACCATCTGCTTATCTATTCCTGTCTACTGATGAGTTTTTGCAATTTAGCATTATGTATTGGAGATACCGTAGTTGCAATGCTGTGCAGGAAGCACTGCAGGAGAGAAGTAATTGGATTTGTGAGATTGGGAATCATAAAATAATTCCAAAATTATTTTAGGTGTACATGACAGTTGCTCTCACCTATAAGCAATGCAATCTTTTCAGATGCAGATGACAAAAGAGAGGGTTATTGGAGTCTGTGAAGAGCTGGGAAGAAATAAACTCTTTCTTTCTGGAGCATTTTGTGTAGTAGCTGTGAATATAGCAAGGTTGCACTCATGTTACTCTTCCTACCATCAGTGAGGAAGAAACTTAGCTGTTTGAGGGAGCATGAGCTCCCATCAGGACTGGATAAATTGAGACTAAGGAAAGATTAGTTCAATTGATCTGGACCTTGGCTGTCCATCATAATATAAGCTAATGTTCAGGTTATCAGAGATGTATTCTGGGAAGGACCTTGGTGCTCAGTTTGGCCCCAAGATGAGTTTTTCACTTCACAGTTCTTATTCTTCTATGGCTGTTTATTATCAGAAGATGAGACAGCATTTGCTGCAGGATGGAAGCATGTCTAAACTCTTGCAAGGGTGTCCCTCTTCTAAGAGTCAAAATCAGATAAAAAAGATGACATTTCATCTATTTGACCTGGACCCTGCAGCATCAGACTTTTCTGATGAAGTAGAAACAGAGCTCTTGAATGATCTCGTCAGTAGTGAAAACATTAAGTGTGCTAAGTTCTGGTTAAGACTAGAAATTTTACTTGAATATTTGTGGCTCTCACTGATTATCAGACACAACCCAAAATATTGCAGCAGAGGGCAGCAGTGGTTCTTAGCACATAACTGAGACCAAACTCCTCGAAGGCATATAGAAGTTCTGTTGCTCTGACAGCTGTCTGTAAGGTGTAGGCTGGCCAAGTCATTAGAAATTTTCACCAAAATAATTAGCATTGTGTAGCCAGGGAGTCCATTCAGACACGAGCTTAACTTTTGAATTGCAGTGTGTATTAGCAGCTTGGATAGTCCGTGATTAAAGTCCTCCAAGTGTCATCTGGGAATGTAGATGCAGGAGAGACATTCAGACACTCTGTGTCTTTTAAGTGGTGCTGCAAAAGTTGGGAGGATACAGGTGAGCAGCTACTGTTCAACAGTCAGAGCAGTTTATCAGAACTGTGGGCTTGTTTCGTGGCTCATCACTGTCAGAGATGCACAGTTCTGAGAGGACAGTACTAAATACTGCCTCTAAATATGGCTCAAGGAACTAAAAAGTCAAAAAGCTAGCATGGGAAAATCATGTTGTCAGCATGTGTGTCCCCTTTGGGCAGGAGAGGTCATCTAAAGGATGGGGTCAGAGCATGACATAAATCCTCTGGTAATAACAGAGATGAGAGATGAGAACAGGATGCCACAGTTCAGAGAGGGCTGCAGACCTGTTTGAGACAGGACAATTAACAATCTCCTTATCCTGTACTGGAAATCACCCACAACCTTTCAGTTCACCTGAAGTTTTAATTTAGATGAAGCTTGGGATTCTCACAGGAGGATTACTGTCTTCCCTCTTTGTTTTCTTTGGCAATGTTTCTTTGGAAAATTTGGGTATTTTTGATGATTTATATCATATGGGTTGTCTCTTGTCCTGCTGTTTCCCCCTTGAGAAGGAAACCATATTCTTGATGTGAAGTAGCACACTTACAGGAATTGTAGAGGATTTTGTACAGGTACTCTGCCTGTACCTCTACCTAGAGGTTATGTCTGCCCAGCCCAAATTATACTTACTAACATGCAGTCAGAAAAAACCCGAAATACTTCGTATTTTGCCTTTGTTAATAAAAATGATTGTAAAAAATGTCCTGTAGTAAATATAGTGATCAGTATATTTCATTTTGTTTGTCAATAAAATGATTTGTTATGTCAGAAGCAGAGTATATGATCTCATCATCTTCATCCAAAGAAATTATTAGAAGCAATTGAAGGGAATTATATGGTACATTGTGTACCAACACTTCCCTCTAATGGATCAAAAGTGATTAGCAGCAAGCCATTTTGGTGCTGCTTTATTTCCTGCTTATTCTTATTACATCTAGGGCAGTCTGTAGAAAAACTGAAGGGAGATGAAAGCATGAAAGTTATCTTTGGGTTCACAGAGGCTGATGCTGAATATTTTACCAGTAAAAGCCCATTTCACTTATTTATTTATTTTTATTTAAAGAGAAATTGAGATTCTTTGAAACATTTCAGACTTGCCATTCCTGCTTATTTTGTCCCTCAGTATGGCTTTAGCACCTCTGAGAAAATCAGATTTTTTTCAGTTCACTGTAATGAACAGCCATCAAGAGAGACAGCCACTCCTCATGTGGACCTAAGAGTCTTTATCCAGAAGCAGCTATGCTGTGCCCCTGGAGCACCCTCAACAAAACCCATCAGAAAAGTCAAGGTTCGGGTTCAGACTGAGATTCAAGGACAGACTCCCTCCAGCCACTCTGGAGAGGTGATCTCTTTGCTCACTTAAGAAATGCATTTGGAGAAAGACAGGACTTATTTGCTAATATCCACAAATCATGGAAGAATGCTCTTTTTTTTTTCTAGGCCATAGATATAACGATATAACAACTTTCAGTAGCCGTGGAAATATGCAAGAAAAATACCATGTGCATTTAAGTCAGGGCAGATATTTCTAATGTATTATTTGGCACATTGCTTTCTGTGACAAATACTCACAGATGATAGGTGAGTGCATGCCAACACAATAAATGTGGTAAATGTCCAATATGAAATAGATACTGCAACTTTCTTGAGCATACTGAATACTTTAATGCTTGAGTGTTTCGGGAAAAGTTGTCAAGGCAACAGAGATCAGTGCTTTTCCTTGGATTTCTCTAGCAGAAAGGAATCTTTAGTTATGAAAAATTACTCATTTCCCATTAACTGATAAAAAACATTTTTAGCAAGAAATAACAGCATAGTGAGAGTGAGGACTTCTACACAGACTTTCCACTGAGCAATGGTTTTCATAGCTTCATGGCTTGCCTCTTGAAAGATGCCTGTCTAATCCTAAACCTGCAAATATCTGTGCAGATATGTGCAACTCCACAAATCTAAGTACACTTGACCATGTATTTAGCCATTTGAAAGACATTGACCTAAATGATTTTTGTCTAATGTGTTTTTCATACACAGTATAACTACTACTCCAGGGCTTAATTCAAAATATATTAAATTATTGAGATGCTTCCAACTGACTTCAGAGTATGGTGGATCATGCCTGTATCCATGTATTCCATATTTGCCTATCTAAAATGTCTTAGGCACTGCTAAGCAGTATTCTTCTAGCTCTGCAAAAAGAAGACATGAGGGCAGAAAAAGGTGGATATTTTGCATGAAGTCATACGAAAAGTCCAAGAATAAGATTGAGTTTTTACAATTTCCACCTTTTCCAGCTGTAACTGTTACGAACAGGATTTGATCTCATGACCTATAGATAGAGATGTATAAATCTGCTCTCAAGTGCCTTTACCATCTTACTACTCCATGCACTTATTTTTATAATGCTTTTTGCTTAATATTAATTGGCAAAAAAAAAAAAGATAAAGGCCATTGTGTGATTTCTCCTGGCTGTGCATAGCTCTAGTTCCTGTTCGAGGGGCTGCTGCCTGCCCTGGGTTTGCTTCCTGTGCACTGTTGAATCTTGCACTCCACCTTGTAAGCAGTGGCACAGTGCCATTTTCACAGATGGACCTGCAAAGAGTCCAGGCCACCAGAAGGCTCCCTTGGTTT